TGGAGACCATGTAATTCTTCCAAGAAATGACAGTTGGTGTGTGTGTGACCTGGGCCCACACCAGAAACTGGTGTTCCTTAGAATTATTTCAGTTCCTTAGAATTATTGAAAAGGTTTTTGCTTGAAGACCACTAGTTTGGAGATGCCACCAGCCCTGCCTCAGGCCTTGCGTTCAGGGGACACAAATCTGCGACTTAATTACACAGCGTTTGCCATCAAATTGTGGGGTGGACCTTGGATTCTGAATGAAATCACCAAAAAATATTTGAGGACCAAAGCTTTTCTATACTAGGAACTTAGACTGACAGGAATTCGATTGTGAATGACAAGTTACTGATCTTGCATCTGTACCCATAGTATTTATTACTTCACAGATTGTGTGGTTAATGATTAAATTTAACACATACATGTTCCCATTTTATTTTAGTGCCTGGATACTAAGTCCTATTAAATAATAGTTGTTTCTTATCCCTGACTGTTAAATAAAACTTGGTAAATTCAGGCTTTCTGGGGCTCTGCTGTATAGAAAATTATTGCTGACTGATTTCACGGTTAGCTCCATTATTGTATATAATTTCAGGGTAGGAGTGAATATACTTGCCCTTTGCAGGCATAGAACTCTCTAAAATGAACTTCTAAAATATGAGGAAACTATTCAAAATGGCATTTTCGTGATATGAATCAGAAGTTAAGATTTTATCTCAGTTCTTAGACTTCACATTTTATTTCCTGTTTATGAAAATGTCCTTGTACAGTATTAAAATGGATTAAAGTGGATATTTTTATCATATTATAACCAAAGCAATATTTGTTAACCTGTGTGCTAATCATGGGACACAGTGTTAAAAATACCCAACTTTGTCTCAAATTAAACCTCGTTCTTAGAACTGACTTGGCTTTTGCATATGCACTGTGTATAGACATACAATAAATGTGTTTTTGCCCAATATTTTAATTTGTCTAGTGTTGTGCTGTAATAGAGTACCCTAGGATTCATCTAATTTTATTGAGTCTCAACATATATCCTGCTGTAGATTATAAACAAAAATAAAAGAGTAAAAATTTAAAGAAGTGTACGAAAACTCTGGGAAGGATGGTTCTTCTGATTTTTGGTCCATGATTTTTATAATTGTTTTGAATGGTGACAATCTGTTCTATGTAGGAAGAACAACTGATTTTTTGAGATGAGAAGTAGCAAAATTACGGATCTGTATTATAAATTGTTCAGTTACTGTGAATTGACCTTGGAATTGCTTTGAGTCCCATCTTTTATCATCATTATAATGACGTTAAAAATACATTATGTATGTTTTCTGGTGATGGAAAAGTCCAGATTTTCTAATGCTTCAAGGCTTTGGTGTCAATAACCTTTCCTTGACTACTCGCACATTAGATGGGCGTTCCACTTGGTCAACGGTAGCTGCTATGTAAACTGTGAAATAGGTATTTAATGTGTGAAATTAGCTATGGTTCTCTCCTGACAGTTTTAATACACCCATACAGACTCAACCATGCATCTGTATTATTTAGAAGGTATTTTTGTTCGTTGCCTTCGATTGGTCTTATTGGAATCCACTGTGCTTTGACATTAGCTATCACAAGGTACAAAAATTTAACTCATAGAGATGCATGTTTATGCAATGTTAACATGCTCTTCATAATGACCTGGGTTGAGGCAGAGGTAGTTCTCTTTACAGAAAGCTCATGTGTCCTTAGCTAACTTTTATTTGTGCAATGAAAGCTGTCTGCTTACTTATGAAGTGTAATTAACCTGCTTTTTCACAAGGAGTAGGATAAAAGTCTGTTTTTCATGTTTTCACGAAAAAATAATGCTCAAATTATAACACTTCATTGGACTTGGATATTTATGAACTTGCCATTTCAGGTGACAGAAGCATCTATATCCTGGATTTAAATTAATGACAATAGTAAATTCATTCCTTTACAGTTGTATCGAGCACTAGAACCAAAATGCTTTTGCATCAATTCCATAAGCAAATACCATGCATTTATCATTTTGTAGCTATGCCACCTGGCAACCAATATCTTTAATCACCTATTAGGAAAGTAATCAAGGAAAATGAGTTATATTAATGAAATACTAGAGTCTGAATATTTTAGGGGGGAGTTTTGTTGAGTGTCACTTCTATTAATAATAGAGAAATGTGTCTTATAAAGACAAATTAGAGTACTTAAAACGTCAATAATATCTTTACAATTTAATAATACATGGAAGGAAGAAACACATATAGTTTAAGACTACATATTTAGATTTTAGAATGTACTTTTTGTAAATCTTTAAGCAAAAATGTTATATTTTAATGGGTGATGATGAAATTAGTTCTAAGAAAGCTGTCAAAAACTGTTCAGAAAGCGAGGGAAGTGTAATTGTGTACTAAAATATATGCAACTCTTAGTGTATGCTGAAATACTTAATGTCTCTTTTAGATTTACATTTATTAGTCATTTTTAGTAGATTTCCAAAAACTGAAAAACAGAATTTTTAGAGCTGCAAAATCGGTTCCATTCATATGAGCACTAATGTAAGAATTAGTTCTGACTGAACACCTGAATGGCCCGGCAAGCTGTATATATACCTATGTATCTCCCATCTTAAGCCAATTTAATTAGACCCTCCATTCACCATCATTATCCTACACAGCTTACCACAGAAAACCGCTGCCTGAAAGCAGTCTTTTCATAATCAACTGTGCTCAGTATCATTACCGAATTGTACTGGAAACATCACCTTTCAGCTCTTCGCATAGAAGGAGCCCTTTTTGCCCAGCAGACATTCGTCAGATACCAATATCTAGATTTTCTCAGGAAAAGGTGAGTGAAACAAGGTTGGACCCCCTACGAGGAGCTGGAAGATGAGCCAGATAAGGACCCCAAGGAGTCCAGTGTCTAAGATCTAAGTCAGTTCCTTCAAGACACGATGAACTGGTTCCTTGAAGCCTTTAAAATAGGAAGGATTTTTGTCATTTCTTTAAACCTTAAAGACTTCTCAAAGCAGCTTCCACCTTAATGACTAATTTTTCTTCTTCAAGCCCCACAAATATCTCAGTGGGTCTATTAATTTGTCACAGTATCTCAGAATGAATCAACATTTAATGAGTCATCAGCCTTATTACTAGGTTTGTGAAATTTTAGGGAGAAAGCCTTATGAACTGCAACAGTCTTTTGAACAATCTTGGTAGTTACTACTGAGTAGTAATTTTAATTTTATTATTATTATAAATAGTCTTTCTTTCAAGAGGAATGGTGCCATAATACGAAAGGCAAAGCAACTTTAAAAATAAGCACACGAAGTTTCACAAACAGTAAAAATAAAGGAGGAAAAACACCTTTCCTTTTACAACTTCCCTTATATCCCATTAACTGAGGTGGTTCAGAAGAATATTAGAAATCTATAGTCGCCAAGCCATGTATACCTTTTAAAGTATATGATTATGAGCAGGATATGAACTCCATGTGGAGTAAATTTTAACAGAATATAGTTTCATAGAATATGCTGCTGTTATCTACATGCCATATTTGAAGAGCATTTTAGTATTTATTGTAGGATATATACCATTCTGCTAAGAAATTGAAGTATATGGATTTTTTTGTGCCTGCAGATTTTAAACTTGTTTTTTTCGTTTTCTAAGATATTTCTTTTACGGTGCCTGAATTTGCCATGCCTGTCATCTACATTAAATTCTTTATTTATAACCTTCACAGACAGCATCCAAAACATATTTTCCTAACAGTGAGCTAGACATCTCACTGTTAGCAGGCATGCTTTACTCACTCTCCTAATATTTTTCTCTTGGAAGAAAATTTTTCATCGATTGAATCTGATATTTAAAATGTAAAACGTCATTTATTCTCATATGGTTACCCACTCTGGCCTTTCTGCCTCTGCAAATACAGCACTGCTGCTTTCCATTACTTTTTTTTTCTCAAACACTTTCTTTCACATTATATTTTGAAGCCAAAAAAATCAAACTAGAGGTTCATAAGTTCATGTTTACAAAGTTAGGATTTTTTAAAGTCTTTTTTATGACTTAAGTAAAAGGGAATACTTTGTCATTTGTATACTTTGTCATTTGTATACTTTGTCATTTGTATACTTTGTCATTTGTATACTTTGTCATTTGTATACTTTGTCATTTGTATACTTGTCATTCGTACACTTTGTCATTCGTGTACTTTGTCATTCGTGTACTTTGTCATTCGTGTACTTTGTCATTCGTGTACTTTGTCATTCGTGTACTTTGTCATTCGTATACTTGGTCATTCGTACACTTGGTCATTCGTACACTTGGTCATTCGTACACTTGGTCATTCGTATACTTTGTCATTCGTATACTTGTCATTCGTGTACTTTGTCATTCGTACACTTTGTCATTCGTGTACTTGGTCATTCGTGTACTTGGTCATTCGTGTACTTGGTCATTCGTATACTTGGTCATTCGTATACTTGGTCATTCGTATACTTGGTCATT